TGTGTGTGTGTGTGTGTGTGTGTGTGTGTGTGTGTGTGTGTGTGTGTCTTTTTTTAAATACATACACGAGAGAGAGCTAATTGGTCATCAGAAGAAACAGGAATGTGTGGGGACACATCGCCACTCTTTGGAAGTTAATATTATGGAGTCTGGTCATGCTCTCCTGCAATACTGTCCCTGGTGCTGTGGAGAGGGTGGGACATAGGGATCATGGGGATTGTGAGCATGGCACCCTCAGGTATGCTGTGGCCACTACTCCTTTCAGTAAAGTGAAACACAAGTGACCACCAGGTCATTAACAATTGGGCAAGATGGTGGTTTGAGTTTGGATGATCCAGCTCTACCAAAAAAATAAAACATAAAAAAGACTTTCATTTGTTTCTAAGTACAAAGCTCGCTTTCACTTGTGAGCTTTGCCACTTCTTGTTCCTTTTCTTTCCTCCCCTCCCTGCCACCTCCCCAGAGACAACTGCAACTTACCCTTCAGAACAGCTGAACTTCTTTCAGGAAGTCCTTGGGAAGCCCCATCCCTGCCCCCTCCAGCTTTGGCTCAGTGGCCCCTCCTGGGCCCCTCAACTGTCCCATGACTCTCCTAACACAGCGTTCATGGCCCTGTTGCCTGTTGGCTTGTTTTATTCCCTGCCAGGCTGTGGGATCCGTGAGGACCTGCCACTGTATCCTAGCACAAACACAGCACCAAGCATGCATTGGCTGCCCAATCAATATTTGCGAAATGATTATGGTTTCAAAAGACAAAAGGTGGTAGAATGACAAGTAGCAAATTACTATTTGAATAGTACTAGAACTGGGAGGGCTAGTCACATCAAGAATTTTTAACTCAGCTAAGCCAGCGAACCTTTTTAACCTTTTGTGGATTCTTCAAACGTCGGCATTTTCGGATATCCATTTCTGTTGTGTTCACACAGCCTGGCTGAGATTAAAAAAAAAAAAAAGCACATCATATAAATTACTAAGTGAAAATTACACTTCCAATTTAGCCCAGGTAACACCATCAGGACCAACCTTTATCTTTTGCCATTACAGATAATGAATGATTTTTTTTTTTCCATTTTGCCGTAATATGTGTTCCTCTTGGACTTCTCATATGATATAGAAGAGCTTACCTCATAATCTAAGGACGATACGTAACGGGTATAGTGCACAGTTTCTAAGTGAAAATTAACTATTCAAGTGGCAAGACTACATCAGCAACAGCCTTTAAAAAAATTTTACATACTTAACTATTTGAAAAAGACTCCACAATATCAGGATGAGTAGCTATTTATTTATTTTTTGCTTTCAATCAAATTTTAAGAAGACAAATAGTTTATTCCCTTTTAGTTCCATTTCATGAGGAAAATGAAAGATTTGTTTTAATAAAGTGAAATTAGAAATACAGTCAAACCTTGTTATCTACAAATTTTGCATTTGTAAATTTGCCTACTTGCTGAATTTCATTTGTAACCCCTTAATCCATACTTGCCCCTTGAGTAGCCTGATGTGCGTGTTTCCCACTGAAATTGAACAAGGTGACGTCCTGCCTTTTTGTTTCAGGCCTGTCTATTTAGGGCTTATTTATTGCCAACTTTTCTGCATTTTTGTGCTTTATGTTGGTGATTTTGCTGTTTAAAATGGCCCCAAGGTACTGAAGTGCTGTCCGCCGTTCCCAAGCAAGAGGGCTCTGATGTGCCTTCGGAGGAAATAAACGTATTAGCTATGCTTTGTGCGGGCGTGAGCAATAGTGCTGTTGGCTATGAGTTTAATGTTAATGAATCAATGATATATATGACATACGGTATCTTTACACAGAAACACATTTAAAAGGTTATGTATTGATCGGCTGATAAAAATGTTGTGGCCACAGGCCCACGGGGACCTAGCTTGGTAGTTCCCACAGGAGTGATGTGCGCTGAATTACTTTATAGAATGTAACTGCCATGGATAACAAGGATTAACTGTATTTGGCAGAGAATAGTTTAAGATTTAGAGTTGAATGGCAGTGGAAATGGAAATTGTCGATTTGGGCAATGTCAACGTTTGGGGCCCAAAGGTCTTTTGGTAGAATTCTCATAGTTCCTCCATTTACAATTCCATATTTTCAAGGATGAAAAATTTTTAAAAGGAGCAACTTATAGATATTCCAGAAAATTTACTGAGATTATATAACTGAATGGCAAAAGCAATTCCACAAAGCTCCGTCATTTTCTTAAGAATGAGACACCTGGTGGCTAAAGACAGTCTTTTCCTTATTGAGATGAAAATGAAAAAATTAAGAACAAAAAAAATCTAGAGAACTGAGTAGAGCTTTCTCACCACAGGCCTGTGGACATCCCAAAAGGCTCGTTCTTGACTATCCAAAATTTTCCTTTCTGTCTTGTCCTTTTTCCGGTCAATCCTGAAAGAGTAAAGAGAGGAAGGAAATAAGAGGCTTTGTATTCCGTTTCTCCCTCCGACACTTGCCCCAGCATTTGCTCCTGTTTTCGGAGGTAAGTGACCACAAGGCTATTGGTTCCTGCACAGTGCCTGCTCTCTGCAGACTGTGAAATGAGCGTATACTTCCTCCCAAAAACCTCAGAAATTCCACACATGGTAAGAGAACATGTTTTAGGCTGGATTACAGATTGCCATATGTGTAACGAACATGGTGGCCTAAAGGGAAGAACAAGAATGCAGCTGTTCATCTGAAGTATTGAGATTTGGATGATTAAGAACTGATTTATCCATTGACATGCCCCTCTCATCAAAAAGGATACTACATATACAAATTATGAGAAGGAATAGAACCACCATCTTGCCAGTGTTCCATGTTCAAATTTGAAAGTTTGCTTTAGATTTAGAATCAGTGGAAAGAAACGTCTTTAAAACGCGGCAATTATGTGTTTTATAAGTCACTTACGCCATCTGGCTTTCTTGAGGTGGTATAATGGCCCTAGTGCAGACAACATCCAGGAGGCAAATATCACTGGCCTTAGCTGGGGGAGGCACGAATTGCAAGAGGGAAACTGCAGGTGACAAGGACAGATTCTTATTGTTCTGATCTGCAGCTAAGATAAGAGGCTTTTTCTTTTTCAAAAAAAGCATGTATTACTTCATTTTATTTCTTCAAGTAAAAAGCAACTCAGATTAATTGCCCCGTAACTCCTGGCTCTTGGCTCTCTTGGGAACACTTTAGTTTTCTGGACTGAAATAAACCCATAATCACCCTGCAATTTTTGTAATAATTACTGTGTACTTAGATGGCCCACAATTATAATATAATCACAGAGTTAATAAAAAAAGTTAATCGAGAAATACCATATATTTATGAAGTAACAATTTCCCCTCTGTTTATAACTTGTGATCCTGGAAGAACAAATTAGTGCTCCTCTTTGCTTTCCAGTGGCTTCTGAGTACACAGGCACAATTCTGCCTCAGCCCAGTAGAATCCCAGTCTCCATCCCACCTACTCTCCCACCTTCACCTCTTCAGGGACACCCAGTGCCTGGTACCCGCCTACCCTGGGGGCTGCTGGGTGGTCAGGAGGTGGCTGGCATCATGGGCAGGAGAAGGGCAGAGACTGCGGGGGAAGGGTCACAGCAATGGCAGTGTACAGGCCACTGGACCAGATGGCCTCAGGCCATTTCCAGCTGTGACCATAGCTGTGATGGGTCTACACTCACACAGTCTGAGACCCAGCTCCGGGCCATGAGCTGCAACAGCCCCCAGGAATGTGAGAAGATTTCTCTGAAGATCCAGGGGCTGCTCACATGCAAGTGGTACCCAGAGGAAACGTAGTCCCATTCTCCCAGCTCAGCATCCCTTTCCTGTTCCTGTACCACTTCTTCTCTTAACCATCCTGGTTAACCTAGACACCATCCCTGGGAAGGACACGGGAGATCCAGGTCCAATCATTCTATTTCCCAGAATTAAATGGATCTGGTTGACAACCATGGGCTTGTGGGGTAGGGAACGTATAGTACCCATTCCTCATGCTTCCTTAGAGAGGAAGAAATGTCCACTACATATCCAGGAGAAAAAAATATGGGAAAAACCTTTCCAACTTTTTTCTTCATCTCTTACCCTTTGGGGAAGAAAAATGACTTAACTAATTGGTAGACTTGAACGAAGAAACTGAGAAAGTTCAGGCTTTCCCTTTCTGGGCCCCCATGTGGGTTAGCCTGAGCTCAGGATAGCTGCTCTCTGTGTGCCGGAAACTTACAGGGATCAGCTCTGCCCTGGTGGGGTGGAGGTGGCGATGCAGGGTAGAGGAGGCCTATAGATACACACCTCTGTCCAGGAAGAGCAAGTTTAATTTGCACCTGTGGCCACAGATCCAATGTCATGCCCTGTAATCTTGCTTTTTTTTCAGAGTTTCACTCTTATTACCCAGGCTGGAGTGCAATGGCATGATCTTGGCTCAATGCAACCTCTGCCTCCTGGGTTCAAGCGATTCTCCAGCCTCAGCCTCCCAAGTAGCTGGGATTACAGGCATGCACTACCATGCCTGGCTAATTTTGTATTTTTAGTAGAGATGAGGTTTCTCCATGTTGGTCAGGCTGGTCTCGAACTCCTGACCTCAGCTGATCTGCCCAGCTTGGCCTCCCAAAGTGCTGGGATTACAGGCATGAGACACCGTGACCGGCCCTAATCTTGCTTTTAATTAATATAATAATCTGATATTTTGGACTCCAATTGTCTGACTTCTGTGCCTTATTTTTTTTTTATTGGTTCTAAACTCCTCCCCTATCAGGGAGAAGAAGATGGGGCTACTTGTCCTTCCTAAAACTCAACCTATTTTCCTATGAAGACAAAATCTCCAGTCCAATGGGTAAAATGGGATTTCAGCCTTTGAGCACAGAAAATACCCAGAAATTTCTTGGGGAAATAGGTATACCTTCTTATAACCAGGGTTCTACCTTTGGGAGGATCTCCCTTGCCTGCAGAAACACACACTTCTGAAACTGCTTTAGAATAATATTGGTTATGAAGATGAAACTTATCCATCCTGACCTTAATTTCTACTCAGTTGGCCTCATGCCAGATTAGAAATACTAGCGCCATCTGGAAACTTCACTTTGACAATCCCCCCTTCACACCATTTCCAAGTTCCAGAGTCTTTTCCTCTCTGAAAAGGTCTCTGTTAAGTCCACCTACTTTACTTGTGCTTCTGCTTGCATAAAGATGAATTCCCACTTCCTTGCAAAGGCCCTCTGAAGTCTTGCTAAGTTTTCCTAATAAGAAATGAAAATCAACAAGAAGGCATTAATCATTGTAAATTAGCACATGGACACCTATGCTTATTATAAGTCAGCCATCCATTTTGGTTACTTCCAACAAAATAGCAAGACCTGCTTTGAATCCCCTGGACGTGCATCCAATCTGACTTTGCACCAGACCCTGCTGTACAGAGCTGAGCTATTAATACTCATTTACACACCCATTAAGTCTGAAGTCTCTATGGTTCACCGGATTCCTTTCTTCATATGTGTTTTACAGGAATGCAACTCACATAGCACTTGTTTCAAAGGTTGCTGAAAATAGGGAAAATTGTTTGTGGCTATTGGGGAATTAATGACGAGTCTTTGCCACCTGTTGGTATCTCCAGGAACAAAACCAAGGCTGGATTTCTCAGGACTTGTCTTCCAGCGGGGAGCTGGAAAGGTCACAGGAAAGGGGAACCAAGGGGACCTGGCTTTCATACTTTTTCTAATGTCAGGATTCAAAAGTGGCCCAGGCTGGGTGCAGTGCCTCACACCAGTAATCCCAGTACTTCGGGAGGGCAAAGCAGGTGGATCACCTGAGGTCAGGGGTTTGAGACCAGCCTGGCCAACAGGATGAAACCCCACCTCTACCAAAATTATAAAAATTAGCTGGGCGTGGTGGCAGATGCCTGTAATCCCAGCTACTTGGGAGGCTGAGGCAGGAGAATCGCTTGAACTCGGGAGGTGGGGAGGCTGTAGTGAGCCAAGATCGTGCCACTGCACTCCAGCCTGAGCAACAAGAGTGAAACTCCATCTCAAAAAAAAAGTGGCCCAAAGGGAGTGTCTATGTTTGTGATATGGATGAAAGAAAAAGCCAAAACAGAAAGAAAAGTCACTGAGGGTTGCCATCAGAGAAAAAGAAAAGTATTTTCTCTAAGTCTGTAGAGTTACCTCATGGAACACGAGGATAGATGGTGAGAAGGGGAGTTTGACAGGCGCCCTGACGATCCCCCTAATTCTGATGAATGCAACGCTGGAGCCCATATTATGCTACGTATTTTCATAGAGCTCATACCAACACTAACTGATTACCCTCATTGATGGATTATTAACATAAAAGGAGCTTCAGTTGGCGAGTACCACACATGAGCTCACAGTTACTACCCAGGCTTAGTGCACGAGTACTTCTAAAAAACTGTCCTTTCGACTCTTCCACTCTCATAGGAAGCAAAACTGGTAATGTCTAAATGCCAATCAACTGTGACACAGTCATAGTATGGAATTCTAGGCAGCCATTAAACACAATAATGTAGATTACAGTTACTGACATGGTAAGGGCCCCGAGACACCTCCAGTAGAATGACTGGGGAAAGGGAAGCAGCTGACACACAAATGTTTATGATATGATTCTAAAATGTTTGTAGAGAAAACAAACGTATGCACAGAAGAAACAGGTGGGGGAGAGTCACAGGTTATAGTCTCTCCTTTATTGTTTGAATTTTTGTTTTTGTAAAAATAATACGTAATCAGAAAATTTATAAAAAATTATTGCATTTTGGAAGCAAAATGCTTTTTTGGATTCAAATCATTTTTGTGCAGAACTTTAACCTGAGAGCACATCCCACTGCCACATTCTTTACAAGTCCCAGGACAGAACATGAAGGGACAAGAGAAGAGGCAAATCAATCGAATACAGCATGAGGCGATACTGTCTGACTTCTGTGTGGGACCTTTTCTAAAACATAGAAAATGTGGGGAAGAGACACAGGAGGGAAGGGTCCCAGGCTTCTGCAGTCTGGGCCTTTCCTCAAGGTTGTGTTAAGGAAGTAACATCATCATGTCAAAGCGACTTGCACTGGGTGTACAAAGAGTCCAACAGCAGTCCTTTGAAGGAGGGGTGACGTGACTGCTGGATGTTGGGGCAGACAGGGGCACGACTGGGCTCCCAGGATGTCCAGAGCACAGAACAACCAGGCCAAGGTTTGTCTGGAGAGATCATAATGTTCCAACATATGATCCTCTGATAATGCAAACTCTAGCCAGGTTCTAAGGCTCTGGACAAACTGCTGCAGTGCTTCCTCCTCTTCCGCCCCCCGAGCCCGATTCACAGGTCCATGATGCCAGTGGGATCAAAGAGGTGAAGGGCTGTGCACAGATCCTGCTCTCCAATGGCATGCACGTTCTTACTTGAGCTGCAGAGAGGGGAGCAACGGCCCAGCTGGCTTAGTAGGCTGGGGAACATGAACCTAGGAGAGGTAAGGCCTGGCAGAGTAGGACCTCACACTTGTTTTGAAAGACCGAGGCAATGAAAGCAGGAGGGGCTTTGGAGGTGGGTGGGTCTGAAGATGCTGTTAATGCAGGATTATCAGGGGAAGGATTCTCTGCTGCCCTTAATGTTGCCCCTCCTCCCACAGCTGCTGGCCCTTCAGTCGTTCATGGCTCAGCAGCACATCCTCTGGAAGACACATAGGAAGAGGGAAGTGGAAGGTATATGAAAGTTCAGCCCATTTCTCCCATTCTCTGTGACCCATATAAAGTTCAGTTTGGGGGAAACATTTTGCGACAAAAAGTTAAAAAAATAAAATAAAATCTATGAGTTTTCAAGTGCTTTGGTTTCTGGGCTCTGTCAAATGGGAATAGGCCCAAGCTTGGTGGTGGGGCCTCTAATTTTTGCAAGGAGCCCCATCTTATGAAGGAAGATTGAAGAGGAAGGTAAGAAAGCTGAGAAGCGATACCTCATGTGACATACATCTTATTTTCTAAAATGGAATTTTACCCTTAGATTCTGCCTCTATTACTAAGCACAGGAGAGTGGGTATAAAGATGCAATTTAAAATTTCAATTTAAGATATTATTACATAGTAAAGTTGACTTTATTCCTTTTGTACAATTCTGTAAATTTTAACACCTGTATAGATTCATGCAACCATCACCACAATCAGGATACAGAACAGTTCCATCAGCTTCCAAAATTCCCCGACCCCATCTATAACCTTTAGCAATCAGTGATCTGCTTTTTATCAAGAGAGTTTATTCAAGAATGTCCTATAAATGGAATGGCTGGTTTGAGATTGGTTTCTTTCATCCAACATAATGTCTTTGGCACTCATTCAAGTGGTCATGTGTAGCAATAGTTCATTCCCTTTTACTGCAGAGTAGTATTCTATTGTATGGATGTACCACAGTTAGTTTGACCATTCACCTGTTAAAGTGCATTTGGGTTGTTTTTAGCTTTTGGTTACCACAGATAGAGCTTGCATGAACATTAGTTTATAGGTTTTTGTGTGAATGACGGGGGACTGCCTGGTTATATGGTAAATGTATGTCTAACTTTAAAAGAAACTGCCAAACAATTTTCTAGAGTGGCTGTACCAGTTTACATTACCACTAGCAATGAAGGAAAGTTCCAGTTGTTCTCACCATCATCCTCACCATCACTTGGTATGATCAGTATTTTTTATTTTGGCCATTCTAATGTGTATGTAATGGTTTCTCACCATGGTTTAATCTGCATTTCCTAAATGGCTAATAATGTTGAGCATCTTTTCATGGGATTATTTATCCTGGGTCATCTTTAGTAAAATATCTTTTAAGTCATTTGCCTATTTTTGAGTTGCTTATCTTTTTATTGTTGAGTTTTAAGAGTTATTTATGTAAAAATACAACCTTACTGTGATGGTAAGAGAAGCTGAGAACAAAGGAGGAGAACTAGAAGATACTTCCCTTCCACTGTGTGAAAGGGATGAAAAGGGAACAAAAGAAAAAGACAATACAAGTTTAGACAGAGCTGCAGATGTGATTTGGCTCTCTTCTTATATGCATCCTGGAAAATAATCATACTTACTGCTTCATAATCTGCCAGTTCCAGTCTTGCTTTATTCTGCATTGTCCTCTTACAAAGATAGATGGCTGAGGGAAGAAATGACAACATGTACAAAACCAGCATCACAGTGGAATCATAAACCCATCCGTCCATCTGTCCAACCATTCATCCATCTATCCATCCATCCATCCATCCATCCATGTATCCATCCATCCAACCATCCAACCAACCATCCATCCATCCATCTGTTCATCCATGCAACCATCCATCCATCCATCCATCCATCCCTCCATCCATCCATCCATTCATGCATCCATCCACCCACCCATGCATCCATCCATCCATCCACCCACCCATGCACCCATCCATCCATCCATCCATGCACCCACCCTTGCATCCATCCATTCATCCATCCAACCACCCATGCATCCATCCATACATCTATCCACCTGCCCTTGTTATATGCCCAGCACTGCCCTTGCTATGTACCCAGCATTGTCTTGGGAAAAACATGTTTTCTAAGTGGAAACAGAAGGCTACAAAAATGTCTTTACATTCTTGATGCGCTTTAAAGATGCCAAAACAGGGTAGTTTATTTCAAAATGTGGTTGATTTAAGAAAGAAAGTAAAACTATTCAGCTCATAATAAAAGAAAAGACTTTGGTCCTACCTCACGAGGCTGTCAAATGAGTGGTCATTTGCGTATCTTACCTTTACATGAGGTGATTAAGGTATATATTTGTCATTAAAAAAATTATTTTCGAGGCCGAGGCGGGTGGATCACGAGGTCAACAGATCGAGACCATCCCGGTCAACATGGTGAAACCCCGTCTCTACTAAAAATACAAAAAAAATCAGCTGGGCATGGTGGCGCATGCCTGTAATCCCAGCTACTCAGGAGGCTGAGGCAGGAGAATTGCCCGAACCCAGGAGGCGGAGGTTGCGGTGAGCCGAGATCGCGCCATTGCACTCCAGCCTGGGCAACGAGAGCGAAACTCTGTCTCAAAAAAAAAAAAAATATTTTCTACTTACTAACTATTCCAATGAACCAAGCAGCTGTAGTGCTCCAGTATCTGATAAAGGGGTGTCTGATCTATCACAAAGTACTTCCTTCAGTCTCTTGGATCCCTGGCAGAATTAGGGGCAATCTTAGGCAGGAAGCTTGACATGTCACCAGCCCCACTGGGCCAGGTCTTCATTACCTTTGAGCAGTGCAGGGTAGTGGAGGTGGCCACTGCTTTGACAATGCTGCCCCAGACAGCATTTTGCACTGGCCAAATGTAAAATCGGAGAAGGCTAACCCGGATTTGGCTATGGGTTTCATGCAAGCAGAGTCACTCAAGAAATCTTTGGACATCCAAGATACGTCCACATGTGACAGCAGGGTTGTGAAGTCAGGTATCATGCACAGAATACACCGCTGGGGCCACTCCTGATGGCCATGAGTCACAGGGTCACACACTACAAGCTCACTTCCCTGGCCTAAAGTCACATAACGAATCTGTTCACCACAATGAGGGAGGTAGGAGGTGGCTGTTCTTGGCATAGAACTCTTGAGGCTTGTCTGCATCCCACAGTACCTTCACCAGGGCTTGCTCTAACTTCCAACCAACTCTAGTGACCACTGGTGACAACAGCCAGCCCTACAAGAGGGCACCTGGAAGAACTGTCTTAAGCTCAGATATTGGTTTTTCCTGGATATTTAATTCCTTACTGAAAATGTCTATTCCCTTGCCCTGACACCTGGCATTGCACCCTTACCTATGTCTCATCTCTCATGTAGAAAAACCCACTGCCATCTTGAGTTCACCATGTGTCACCGCTACAAAAGTGGAACATGTTTAAAAATTGTATAAAGGGAACAGATTCATGTATTATCTGTGCAATTAAATTTCTTAAAAAATATTGAACTTATCGAATTTCAATGTGCTTAAGAAACTCACCCCTTTCTATACTTTCTGCCTTTACTTGCGACATCACCATTTACCTCAATCTCCTAAACTAGGGAACCTATAACTCACTTATTTCTCTATCTTACTCATACCCTCTGATGGCTTTTTAGAACACAGAATTTTAGCATTGGAAGTAACCTTGGCAACCATCAAGTACAGACCCTTCATTTACAGATGGGGAAACTTAAGGCACAGAGAAGTCAAGTGATGGACCTGAGGGCTAGTGATGGAATTGGAATTAGAATTGAGGCCCAGTGCAGAGTTTCCTCTATGACATTCACTGACCCATATGTTCATTCATTCACTCATTAAAAAATGTACTGAGTGTCTCCTATGGGCCAAGTACAGTTTTAGGTGCTAGAAAAATCACCATTGTAGCAGCTACTGCTTCCATTGAGCCCAGTGTCAGGGACTATCTGGCTAAATCACAGCCCTTACTTAATCCTCCACAGCCCACTTACTAAATCCCCATAATAATCCTATAAGGTGGATTCTGTTATTACTCCCTTATTATAGATGGATCAATTTTTTCCCAAGTTGGAAAAAAACCTGGGAAAGTTTGTTCATTGTTGGGTACCCACAATAGCTCCCCCAAAGTGCTGAATCCATTCTAAACGTCTCTCCTTGACTGCCAAGGCCTATTTATAAACCTGCCCCTCCAAAGCTATTCAGCCTTCTCAATCATTTATCACATAAAACCTTTGAATACTCAAGCCAGATCCTCACCACACCTTTCTTCCCTGCATCATGCTGCCTCTCCAGCCTGGAATGCCTGAGGGGAAAGGCTGTGACTTACTTAAACCTCCGACATAGAATCTGACAGAGTAGGGACCAGTAAATGTTTGCTGATTGGATGAAAATCTATGGGGTACTTCATCAGTCCAAATCATACTATATTGAATTCTTAGCTTCAGTTTCCCATACTTCCTGGTGACAGGGCCACCTCAGTAGTAATGACATCAACCAGCATCCCAGTGGCAATAATACCAGCCCCACCCCAGTAGTGATACCAACCGCTACCCCAGCGAACCTTACATGCATTTTATTTCTTCCTAACAAAACAACATTAGAACACAAGTGCCATTATTGGAATTGTGTCGCGGTTTTTTTTTTTTTTGGGACGGAGTTTCGCTCTTGTTACCCAGGCTGGAGTGCAATGGCGCAATCTCGGCTCGCCGCAACCTCCGCCTCCTGGGTTCAGGCAATTCTCCTGCCCCAGCCTCCTGAGTCGCTGGGATTACAGGCACGCGCCACCATGCCCAGCTAATTTTTTGTAGTTTTAGTAGAGACGGGGTTTCACCGTGTTGACCAGGATGGTCTCGATCTCTTGACCTCGTGATCCACCCGCCTTGGCCTCCCAAAGTGCTGGGATTACAGGCGTGAGCCACCACGCCCGGCTTATTCCTTTAATTTTAATATGAGGTCTCTGAGGCACAGAGAGGTTAAGTAATTTGCCAATATCACCCATCTAGTAGAACTGGTTGATCCTGGGGCTCACTGTGCTGGGTTCTCTCTTGGTAAATACATCCTGATTTTCTAACTTAACTGCTTTGGAAATCTTGGGGAGTGCCGGTTTTTCTTTGTTTTAGAGACAAGTCTTGCTCTGTCACCCAGGCTGGAGTGCAGTGGCACAATCATAGCTCACTGCAGCCGTGAACTCCTAGGCTCAAGTGATCCTCCCATCTCAGCCTCCCAAGTCACTGGGATTACAGGCATGCACCACCATGCCTGGCCCCTGGTGAATACTTCTGCATCCTGAACCTTGATTTCTTCCTCTGATTTGCCATAGAGGCACAGGAATTTAAAATTATTTTTCTTTAATGAGAGCCTCAAACAAACTGTTATTTCTATCCCTGTTCATGATGCCAATTAAAATTATAAAATGAAGAATACCTGCAGACGCACGGAAATGTTGCCTTTAGTACTCAGCGTCAGACGGCCTAAGCTTTAGTGAAGTAAATATTTTAACCTTACTTGGGCCCAGGTATCTGGTCTTACCACCCTGCCACCCTCTCCACTGCTTGGAAAAATATTGGTTTTCACTTTCACAAGGGCACACGCTACTGCATGGAATTGAGCTATAATTATTTGAATTCTGAGTTGGACTTTCATGAGCAGTCTTTTCAGTCCCAGGAGCACTTGTTTTATGAGCGGTCAAACGCAGCTCTCACTCGCAGCCAGAAGCCTTCCTGGGTCCACTTATCACATCGGTTATGGTGCAGCAGTGTCAGAGGGCCCACAGTGGTGCCTGTGGGTAGCCAAGCAGATAGCCCCAAGGCCTGCCCTTCTGCATGACTGACGACTGAACTCCCAACTTCACCTACTCTTTATTTTCCTAGTCTAGGGTGACTTCTGTATACCCCTCCCTGGTCCCTCTCCCTTTTCCCCTAAATTGCAACTATCAAGAACACCAAAAGGTTCTTAGTAAGTTTTGACAAGTCTGTGAGAACAGAAAGGGCCAGGAGGAGGTTGCCCCTTGATCCAACCCACCCTGAAGCCCTATCCCTGGAAAGAACAATTAAAAGTCACCATCCCATAGTGTTGCTGTGGGATCCTGGTTCTCCATGGGCCCTAGATGAACATTCTGACCACCCTTGATAAGATTTTTCTTCCCTCTCCTGCTTCCCCTCTAAGGACTACATCTTTCAATGAGCTGGGCCTTCCTCTGTTATGTGGAACAGGACGTTTGTTATACAGCAACAACATGAGAAAGGACTAAGCAGAGAGGACCCTCCTCCCCATGTACCGCAGTTGCCCAGACACCAAGCATTTGTCTTCTGCACGCCCAGAAGTGACACACAGTGTGGGCTGTGGCTTCAGTTCTCACCATAGTCGGTGTTTTCAGGTTCCCAGCAGTTTGAAGGCCAGAAGTACGGAGCCTGAAAAGAAGCATGGGTGTCAGGGCTCAGAGGCGTGCCATGCTGCTCTTCCCTCCCACGCCCAGGGAGGAGCCTCCCTCAGGGCAGGCTCTCCCCCATCTCCTTGCTGATGCTACCCCGCAATGCTCCCCTTTTTGCTAATGCAGCTGAGGTGAGTCAACATTTCAATCTAACCATTGAGAGGCAAAATCTAAGGCAAGCAAAACAAATGCAAAATTGAGAAGTTTTGTTCATAGGGGAATATATTCCTATCCTGAGACAACAGAAGTCTAACTACAAAAGCCAACCTGGCACAACGTGCTGGGTACCTAAGCCCAAGTTCCTTTTCTCCCTTTATCCTAGTCTGAAGGACTCTTTTCCGAAACGCTTTGGTTAGACCTTGACTCAAGCCCCTATCCTCTGCCCTCATTCCCTCTAGGGAAGGATCTGGGAGAAGGAGTGTAAAATGGGTGGGGAGGATGATTAGGTGGCAGATAGAAACTTCACTCTGGGAAGGTGGCATGAGGCAGTAGAAAGATCAAGGTCTGTGCTATCAGGCTCACTTAGGTTCACATGAAGGCTGCCTCCTGCATTTACTAAATGCCACTTTAATTCTTTGAGCACATCAGCTTTCGCATCTGCAGACTGGGTGATATTTACCCACTAAGGTGTGCTCTTCAGAATAAATGAGGAAATCTATACAAAGTGTCTGCCATGGTTTGAACGTCTGCGTCCTCTTCAAATTAATATGCTGAAATCCTAATCCTCAAGGCGATGGTATTGGGAGGTGGGGCCTTTGAAGCCCTCAAAGATGAGATTAGTGCCCTTATAAAAGAGGCCTGATATGAGCCCCAGGTCTTGTCTGCCATGTGAGGATACAACTAGAAGGTGTCATCTGTGAACCAGAGAGCAGGCTCTCACCAGACACTGAGCCTGCCAGCACCCTGATCTTGGACTTGCCAGCCTCCAGGACCATGAAAAGTACATTTTTATTGTTTATAAGATACCCAGTTTATGGTATTTCATTGCAGCAGCACGAGCGGACTAAGACAGTGCCTAGGGAACGTTAGGCTCTCAATGACAGCCTTTTACTATTCTTCAAGTGGGACACCCAATCACCCAGACACAAGTTCTTTTGGCTTTCCCAGAGCTGAGGAGGAGTGAGGGTTACTCCCTCAAATATCCCTTCGGTTTTCTTCGTAGTTCTAATCTGAGATAAAATGATGCTGAGAAGAAACGATTCTTGAGGAAAGGGAGCCAGAAGGCTTACCTGGAAACGATAAAAGGTGCCATCGTCCTTCATGGTGAGAACATGGTCTGAGATTGGGAAGATGTATCCCTGGGCAGCGATAAGGCTTCCCAAGTGTATTGCTTCAACTGTAAGAACAGAGCACAGGGAGAGAAGGAATTAGGAAGCAGATTATTCAGCTGAAAATTCAGCTGGGAGATCAGAAGTCAACTGTCATCACCCCCGGAGGACTGTGTTGATGATATGATTGCCCTTGCTCAGTGTGGGGGTGAGGAGGGGCATGCCAATGGCTGGAAGGGGCCACTACATGTCTGGGACTTGTCTGAACCCCACCTCTGAGAGTCTGATACTGCTTAATCCTTCCCCACTTTGACCTTCAGAAGAAAGTCTGGCTTCAGGGTCAAGGGCATAAGTTTTGGCGCAGATGAACCTGTATTTAACTAAGTGAGATATTTCACATAAAGTGATTAGCAGTGTCCATTACAGGTCAAATATTCCGTAAGTGCTGGCAGCTCTGATTCATATATTTAGTTTCATCATCCCCAGCAGTAAGAATGCAGCCTCACTGCCCATAGAGACAAATGAGTCCCACTGCGTTCCCCAATATGACAGTCACATCAGGGATGAGAAGGGCGTTACGCTTGTCTTATGGACAAAGAGGAAATCCTCACTTCCTTGGAAAGTTAGAGGAAGGACACTGAAGTAAACAGTGACAGAGGGGGGCTGACCTCGTAGAAATACTTATATTTTTGTCACAATCAACCTGTTCCTTTGTTCCTTTAGCACCAGCCATAAATAGATGCACGTAGAAAGCTGAGAATATAGGCCTGGCACGATGGCTCATGCCTGTAATCCCAGTACTCTGGGAAGCCGAGGCGGACGGATTACTTGAGCTCAGGAGTTTGAGACCACCAGCCTGAGCAACATAGTGAAACCCTGCCTTGATTTTAAAAAAAAGTTAGGAATTTAAATTTATCCTGAGGAGAGCTAAGAAAAAATAACAAACCTCAATGCTTCTACCACACGCAATAATCTTTCACAAATCCAAAAGTACTGTTACAGGTTAAAACTAATTTTTGGACATGGAAATTGCTGACATGCTCAGGGAGTCTCTAGCAGTTATTAATTTCATGAGCTCTGAATTTTTAAGAGTAATTTGTTTTGGCTTTACTTGCAAACTTTTCAAGAAGTTGAAGATGATGCAATGTTTTGCTTATTAAGAACTCATTCTCCTTTGAAAGAAACATACATGTAACTGGTGGAATTAGAATGAACAAAGTTTTATTTTACTTACTTAGTGATGACCAATTTGCTTTTTTTAAGAGGCAGACCTCACTCTGTCACCCAGGCTGGAGTGCCGTGGTGCAATCATAGCCCTTTGCAGCCTTGAAATCCTGGGGTCAAGTGATATTCCTGCCCCTGCCTCCCAAGTGGCTGGAACCACAGGCACATGCCACCACAACTGTCTCATTTTTTTATTTTTAAATTTTTTGTAGAGATAGGGTCTTGCCATCTTGCTCAGCCTGGTCTTGAATTCCTGGGCTCAAGCAATTCTCCCAGCTCAGCCTCCCAAAGTGATGTGATTACAGGCATGAACTACCATGTCTGGCCAGTTTGCTTTTTAAAGTCTATATGCTTCAAGAATCATGAGTCCAGCCAGAAGTTTCATCAGCAGCAGCTGCTCCTTCCCCAGGGAAGAAAGAACAAAATCCAGTAGGAAGGTGACTTTCATGCCACCAGTCTTAGAGCTGAGACTCTAACTTCATTCCCTGAGCAAAAACGTTTTTGCTTCGACGTTGGTCAATGGGGCCAGGTGTGGTGGCTCACACCTGTCAACCCAGCACTTTGGGAGGCCGAAGCCGAAGAATTATTTGAGGTCAGGAGTTCAAGACCAGCCTGGACAACACAGTGAGATCCCTATCTATACAAAAAATAAAACAAAAAATTAACTGGGTGTGGTGGCACACGCCTGTAGTCCCAGCTATTCAGGAGGCTGAGGTGGAAGACTGTTTGGGTCAAGGTCAAGGCTGCAGTGAGCATGACAGTACCACTGCACTCTAGCCTAGGTGACAGAGCAAGATCCTGTCTCAAAAACTAAAAAATAACAGAAAACTGGCTGATGTGAAAAAGAAAGGAGAAAGGGGCAGGCGCTGGATCTGCCCATTTCCCAAGGCCTTGGTTTGCTTCATCTCCCCGCTTCTATTCCCGGCTGGCAAAGTGCTCTTAGCTCCGCCTCAGCCACTTTGCAGAAGCCCAAACAGGCCCCGATACCACAGTGTCTTCCCAAAGGCATCAGAGTGTAATGGATCTTCATAGAAATAACTCTTATCATTCAGGACCCTTCATAGAAGCTTCTCATGCCAGGGCCAGAGGATTCCTGAAGCTCATTTTCACATACTGCTAGCCAATTTAGGCTTCTCATAACAGTAATAACAAAATACATGTCAGACCTGCAATGAGTATTTTTGGGGGGGAGGGTAAAGAAGCCAGTGCTCTTGGAAGAGAAAAGGTGGCTATGAGAAAACATGTTCCTTAGTTTAGAATCATAATCACAGGAAACAGACTTTCCAAGTGGACACTCAGAAGCCCAGGCTGCATCAGAGGTAACACATATGGGGGTTGCTTGGGGCTCTATCCCTTACAAAGGACTGGCATGTATAGTTTTCTCCCCGTGAATCAAGAACTTGACTAGAATTCAGAATTTTCATGAGTTATGAGAGTAGCCACTAATCAAGTGGGTAAAAAGACTCAGGTCACTTCTATGAATGATCCGCTTTTCTGGCACTCAGAGTTCTAGCACTCTAGTTCTATATATAATTAAACTGTACAGAAATTGTGTCATTTTGCAGTCAACAGTTTAGAAATGTTTGGTTAAAATACAGGAATGCCAAGCCAACACACTGATTCCAGCGAGGAATCATGGCTGAAGGTCACAGGGAGAGAATGGGCACTTGAAAACCATCTTCAAAAAGCATTGTGGTTCGGGGCCATTTAATTTGGGGCAGATAAGTCTAATCACGCCAATGTCCATTAAGAACATCAGAGCGAATTAGCGGATCTTTATAAATGTGACCTTCAGGCATCAAGAGTACTCAGGTAATCAAGGCAAAGGAGTATGTAATACATTCAGAAAAGTATTAACTAACAGCACATGGGAATAAGCTTTACTTGCCTTGAATTTTTATTTTTCTGGAACACCCCCCACCCCATTTCCTAATTACGCTGTGAAAATAAATTTCACTGCTTATTTTCTGGTGGGAGGACAGATTTGGAAATTGTTTTATTGGCCATGGTTTTGCTGTTGTTTTCCTGGTAAGGCCTTACTAATTGAAATGCGCAATTAAAGTTGAAAAAAAATCATTCCTTCACTTCTTGCAGAAGCAGAAAACAGAGGGAGTCTTAGCAAATAATTAAACATCTTAATTGTGGATCAGGCAATCTAATTTTAAGAGCTGGCTCTGGAAGGCTGTTCAGTGGCAGTGCTACAACTTATCTTTAATTGCTGCAGCTAATGAGAATTCAACTCATTTCACACGTTATTGTATTGGGCTCTTTGGCATTCTAAATAGTTGCTCATTTCCTCAAAGCATGATTTAAATTTAAAGATAAATATTCAGTGGAGAAGATAAATTAATTTTATTTGTAAATAGTGTGATTCCACGTCTTGGAATTCACATTTACAAGCCCAGTTCTCAGGAGGGTAGGAGGATCTAGTTTGGAACTTGGTTATGGGATGTTTACTGATACCAGGGTAGATGAGGGCAGGGTCAAAGGTCAAGTACCTGGGTCCTCAATGGAAAGGTTCTTCATAAGCCACTGCACAATGTCAGTACCTGCAACGATAAAGCAATTTCGGCTGAAGACCTCATGAGCGTTTAACGCTGTGGCAGAAGAAACATATTTACCTAAGAGAATCCTAATTCCAACTAGTACACACTGTAGAGCGGGATAATATGGATGCTTTTCTGTTCTAACCAATCCTTTCCGTTTTCAGGACACTTCCATAGTTACAATTCCATTCTTGTCCAAAAAACACTCACTTCTGATGATGCAGGAGGAGCTTACATTCACATGTCTAGAAAGTGTCTAGAGAGGACTTCCCAGAGACAGGCTAGGTGAAACTTTATCGTACCTGGCCCCCAGACCATTTCTTGAAGAAGCAGGCCTCTTTAGCTCCCTGCTGTCACTGACAAGTGCTCACCAACACAGGTGGCCTCATAGGCTCTTGCAAAACTCTCATCTCTTCTGGCATAGGCCTATCCTGAAGGCATGTGTCCCTGAAGGCATGTGTCCCTGAAGGCATGTGTCCCTGCGTTTGTGGCAGCAACGTCTATGTATTCACCAAAATCTCTTTCCTCACTGTGCCACAGCTAGATTACATTTCCAGACTCCCCTGCACTTAGGCATGGACTGAGTTCTGCCAATAGAATGTGGGTAGAAATGACCTATGCCTCTTCCAGACCTGGAAAAAAAACCTCCTACATGGCTCTGCATAGCTCCGCCCCTTTCAATCACATTCCCTGGCTGGATATGGGGGACTCCAAAGATCTGGGGCAATGCAGAGCCACAATAGGGAGGGAGCTATGGTTCTAGCCACGGACATTAAGCCCATGTGGGACTCTGACTTGACTAAGGAATACACTTTGTTGTGTGAAGCCCCTGAAATTTGGGGTTTCGCTGTTTTGGTATCTAGTATTACCTTAACAAATGTAAATCTTAAAAGTCTGAAGGCATTTTTAAGTTGAACTTGTATAATTTGGAGGAAATTGACACATGGGCACATGTACACATGCACATACACACACACGCTCTCTCTCTCTCTCTCTCTCTCTCTCTCTCTCTCTCTAGGAATGTGAATTAACAGGAGTATTTTTGATCAGAAGTTTAACTCACAGATGCCATTCGTGAGCATCTACTACTCCAACCCTAGCCAGTACATGAGTCCCATCCACAACACCCTGGAGAAGAGGTGTTGTAACCTGTGTTTAGAATCCCTAGTACCTGGGAAGTCACAAATTCCCCCTACCTAGCCTGACCCAGTTAAATCAGCCTTGATTTTTCTGAACAGAAACTTGCCCCTCTGACTTCCTCACTTTGGCTTCAGTTTTGCTCTTCGATGATGGAAAACCAAATCCCGTCCTAACCACTCTGTGTGACAACCCTTCAGCTATTTGGACAGCCCTACAGGGTACCAGTGACATCCTCCCTCCAAATGCAACAAGCCTGGGTCCCTCAGCTGCTACCTTGCAGGGCATGGCCTGAAGGTCCTCACCATATGTTCCCAATCCTCTGAATATGCTCCCTTTTGTCTGCCTCTCTTTGAAAATGTGACATGCAAACAACATTCTGAGAGCAGCACTGTGTACATAGGAGTAGAGGAGTCAGTTTTCTAGAAGGTTCTGAATTTCTGATCAATCCGCATTTGCTACCCAAAAATCTCACTTTAAACCAGTGCAGAATATTGAAGGTGTAGCATTGCCACTTCTGAATTTTTTGGTGGAAAACAGCCTGCAAGGGGAGATGTTTCTAGATATCAGAGTCCTACCCTGGGTCTGAGACTTTGGTACGAGGGAGGGGATGGGCCAAGAACTCTCCTGGGCTGGATTCCTGGCTGAAGGCCTGGAGATCCAGCAGAGGGGCTTTGTGAGGATTGCCTTTTCCCAGAAAGCAGATTTCTTGGATACATGACTGGTGGCCAGAAGTGGGTCTGGTGCAAGACAGAGAGCCTGGACATTTTGTTTCCCTCTGGCTCCATGGCAAGTGATGTAACCCTGAAGAGTGGAACTGCCAGGGTCATCCTCATCCTCCTGTGTGCTCTTTTTCTGCTGACACAGCCTTGCAATTTTCAATGTCCCCACACCAGCCTCAAAGGCAGGATTTCTAGGCTTCTCCTCGCTCTTGCTGCTCACAGATGGCATCTGTGAGTTAAACTTCAGATGAAAAATATTCATTCACATTCTTAGAAAGAAAAAGAGCGAGAGAGTGATTGTGTGTGTGTGTGTGTGTGTGTGTGTGCACGCATGTACATGTGCCCGTGTGTCAATTTCCTTCAAATTATACAAGTTCAACATTTGTCCCAGGAAATGAGGAACAAAGCAGAAACCAAAAAAGAACTAGTCCCAAGCTGGGGTAGAGGAGAGACTCTAATCTGTTTTTTCCTCAAAAGAAAAATACTTCTGGTCAGGCACAGAGGCTCATGCCTGTAATCCCAGCGCTTTGGGAGGCCAAGGTGGGTGGATCATGAGGTCAGGAGATCAAGACCATCCTGGCCAACATGATGAAACCTCATCTCTACTAAAATACAAAACATTAGTCATGCGTGGAGGCGGTCGCCTGTAGTCTCAGCTGCTTGGGAGGCTGAGGCAGAGGAATCCTTTGAACCCGGGAGGCGGAGGTTGCAGTGAGCCAAGGTGGTGCCACTGCACTCCAGTCTGGAGACAGAGCGAGACTCCCTCTCAAAAAAAAAAAAAAAAAAAAAAAGAAAGAAAAATCGTTCTTTTTTTTTTTTTTTGTGGGTTGCCTAGAAACTGCGAGGACTCCTGCATTAGCCGAGCTCTCCCCCAGGCCGGCGGATTATCTTTCCGCTGAGCTTGCCGAACCATTATTTATCACCTGCCAAGATTGATTACTCACTCTGGGACAATGACAGCCCTTCCTTTCCCCTGTTAATTACTGTCATCATTAATATCCATGTCACTAATCAGTATTCATTCTCATTGAAACTCCTTCCTTGCTATCATATCCGCTCCCCCCGCCACCCCAACCCTGGCTCAGCATCCTTGTCTGGGTTTCTGCCCCCTTTTGGCTTCCTGCGCTGTCTTTGGCCTAATTGTTCTCCCCGGTCCACCAGGCCCTGGTTTGCATTTACAGAGCTGAAGGATCACATTTAAGCACTTTTGTTTCTAAAGAAGGGAAAGTCACAAAAACCCATTTCCTTTTTTCCCTAGCCCCATGGAGACCACAGAGCGGGGTTTCTTTTCCCTGGTTCAGCCACCGTGACAGCTGCTATTTCAGCTGGGGGCTGATCCAAGCTCAGGCCCACGCAAGGGCTGAGCTGCTGCCCCTGGCTGCCTGGGACACTGCATTCCATCTGCAGTGCCATCCACTCCGCCACCATCCCTTCCATGCCACGGCACTGCCTGGCAGACTTCATTTCAGCACAAGCAACAGCACCTAGAGACGGGGACGCGCTCACTCTCATGGACATCGGGTATTGCAGGCTTCCGTGGACCAACCCAGGAGCGGCCACGCCTCCAGCCTGTGGCAGGAAGTAAACCACTGTGTGTTCAGCCCCAGGAACAAGAAATGGGAATGTGTCTTAATATGGCATCCTTTAAAACATTTACAGTTATTACGCTGTAGCATCTGACAAGAGTAGTCCAAACATCCAAACCACCAGCAGGAGAAAGCATTTCCATTCTTTTTTCACTTTCCTTTCTTGCTTCTTTCCTTCCTTCCCACAAACCCATGATCATTCTTTCCTTCCTGTTCTAAAGAGAATTTGTAGCTGATTCCTTTTCTGTTCTATCTAAAATTAATTGTTGCCTTGTTATCACGCTTGGTTTCTGGATCTTATCTTAGCCAAGCTCTCTGCCAAGGACTTAAAGCCAATATAACAACATCACAAATGCTATGTTAAGACAACAAAACAAATGCAGGACGGCCATCCTTTAATCCCACAGATCCTAAAACACCGTCTGTAAGCTTTCTTTTTGAGGCTGATTTATCAATATATATTCCAGGGATATCCATGAAATACACCAGAAGGCACCCGAAACACCTCTCCGTTGCATGCGTGTTTTATTAGTGTGTTTAAGGATATATTTATGATCTGTAGTTATGGGTTATGTTTCTATATGTGTTACATGTATTTCAGTTATGTCTTTTATATCTAAAATCATGTTTATTAGATGACTGGGAACAAACCAAAAGCCTCTAATAGGGGATTGAATAAATTATGGCTCATTCATGCAATAAATATTTATTAAACATCTACAGTGGAAAAGCACCTTGAGAACAGGGTGCACTGTAAAATATTTACATTCTATTAATTATATATGTCTCTAAATAATTATGGAGATGAAAAATTCTGGATGTATATAAATTTAGGTTATTTTGGGGAGAGAGGAGGCATCAAATAATGGAAAATTTCTAATCTTTAGATTTCTGTATTATTTGAAGTTCACAGAACATTCGTATAATACTTTCACACTAGAAAAATTTTTTGTTTTAAAGGGCAGAGAGAGAAGAAAGAGTTGGCCTCTGAGGCCAAAGTGGAGAGGGTATGGGTAACTCTGGACGGCCTCTGGTGATCCTCAAGGCCTGGGCACTTCCTGCTCTCTGGGGAAAGGGCCAGGAGACTCAAGCTGTCTTTTTCCTGTGGGGTAAACAGTGGGAGGCTCAACACTGTGCCTCCAATTGGCCACTCTCTGGCCATCTGCCACTCCGGGAATAGCCATTTATAGACTCTGACAGGGCTGTCCACTCAGAGCCCTGGCCTAAGGGTGACATCCTGCACCTCCCTGCTGTGTTAGTTTATTTACTCGGTTAGAGTAAGATGCAATCATCTTTTCCTGGTGACTTTCCATGCTGAATCAACTCTATTGAGTAAGCTGGTAAGGGGTTTCTGTCTCTGGTTTCAGGCAGACATAAAATTCAGGGCATTGTCTTCAGGTGTTTTAAGCTCCTCTAAAACTGTAGCATTTGACCCAGATGCCTTCCTCCCATGAATGTGTCAGGACCCCAGGGGATCCTAGTGTGAAACACTCCCCCAACTCTTCCCAAAGCATTCTATCAATCCGAGCCGAGATCAGATGACGCAAAGTGGATAAAA